ACAAGTGCAACCGTTTTCCATGCTCTTTTAATTGCATCAACTCCTTGTGAAGTTGTTTTGTATTTACAGAGCTTGGTCAGATGGCTGTTTATATCATACACCAATTAAACAAGATCGTACTGTGTTACACTAGGGCCCCCACTCGTCGCACCATGGTAGTTTTCTTTGTATTTTTGACTTGTTATTTGTTTTTCCTTATTCCGCGTAGACAAACACCATTTTCCACTTTCTGAAATAGTTGAATTGAAATAATTATAAGGTATATGGGACTCAACACAGGAAACCCGCTCTTATCAAAAACATAAAATTGTACTGAAGAGACAAAAATATGCCCAAGATTGTTATGAAATGTTTAATTCCATACTTCTTTTTGGTCTGCAAGGAAAAAGCCATGGCTCATTTGAAAGGGCTCTTAGTGCTTTCTAAGAAAAACATGTTTTGGTATTATATATGATACATTTTGCAAGTTTATCCATATATGTGTACAAGCCAAAAGAGAAAGGTACGTTGTTATGGCATGTTTTGGTATAATAGATGATACATGTTTTGGTATTATAGATGATACATTTTGCAAGTTTATCCATATATGTGTACACACTGTGGCTAGTCGATCTATGTGGATGCAGTCAGGCACATGTAATGTTTCGTGAGTACCCGCCTCCGTACTTTTCAATGGAAGAATTTTGCACTTCTGTTTAAATAATCTATATTTACTCATCCGTGTATATCATACTTCATTGATTACAAAACCAAAGCTACGCTATAAACACAAATTCTCTGATATTTTTACTGAGAATAGATAACTCAAACGAGTTCACTCGACCAGTTTTATCATCTCGCTCACAGCTGTGAGAAGGCTGTATAATTTGCTATAGGTTTACCTTGTAATGGGGAATAAAAAATTCAAGTAATATAATTATTTCACATACACAAATATGTCTGTGTGAAGTAAAATACAAATACAATGCGTTCTATAATATTTTTGGGGTTATGGTATGAAATATCCGCTTTAAAAAAGCAATTTGATCATGATGTATCATGTGGATTAGTAGACGTTCTGATTGGAATCATTGAACAGACTGGCTAGGTTTCAATTGAATCATTTTGAATGTGTGTATTTTTAATATTTTAATCCACAGTGTCAAAAAACAATAATAATGCTATATTGGAAATTGGAAAGATTCCACTTACCACGATTTCAAACAATTGTAAATAGATAATATTATTCTTGAATTATGGTCATTTGTTTCAAGGAATCTGGAGGCTCGTTCAGCTGAGCTGACAAAATCATCAAGATTTACGGATGGTCCATCTGTTGGCTGCTCATTGTCACTTTCAAGGAATGTTAATGGCTCTGAAACGTGTAGCCTTGCCCAAGTCGGTATTTATTTATTTATCTGATCTTGAATTATTACAACCTTAAACAATCCAATGCATCATCGCTGATATTATGCTAAGTTATTTAGCGGTTCCGAGATTCCCATAATACCTAGGCTACCTAACGGTATCCCAAAACCATATTGATTGACAATATGGACATGGACACAACGTGTGACTTCAGGCTGATTGACCAATCAAAACGTTATCAGGTTGACCTGCATAAAAAAAGCAAACTACCCGTCTAGGACTTGAAATTCAATGATCTGATCGAGTGATTCTTGAGAGTTACAATATATTATGTTATTAAATGTACATTGGAATGTAAGCAGTCATTAATACTCATGTAAATGAAATCATGCAATTCAATGTTGATTCAAAATCAAAACTAAATTCTCGATGGAAATGCACGAAGACCTAGTCCGGCAATGTAGGCTCGTCGTTGATTGGACAAATTTTACCGACAAAAACATTGGGTCAGTCAAGCACGTGGCTTTCTCTTGGGTACAAGGCGGTCATAATAGAAATCAAGATAAGTAAAAGAGACCGACTTGGGCAAGGCTATGAAACTTGATTTGTGGGTATTCCATTGGGTCGATGGGTCTTTTGCTCTGAATTCACTTCATTGGCGTACCTAATTTCAACATTTTCATTGTCATCATTACATGTTATGGACCCGTTTTTCAAATTAACAGTATAAGCGATAAAACCATAGTTTTTGGCTCACACAGTAAGCCTATGGGATCGACCAGGCGTCCTTCCGTTGGTCCGTCGGTCCGTTGGTCCGTCCGTCAGTCTACATTTGCTGCACAAATTAAAACTGCTACTCGGATTGAGTCATTTCCACATTCATTTTATGTATATCCATAATGTCTATTTGACCTATCATCGCCATTTCCCAAGTTCGCCCGGTTTCCGAGAAATTGCTGATTTTTAAATTTCGAGAAAAATCGATCTGATGATAGCTTTATAGAAAGTCAAGTGAAGAAAAGATTGAAAAAACCCAGCCCAGTCCATTTCCAGGTCCAAGTCCAGGTCCAGGTCCAAGTCAAGGTCCAGTTCTGGTCCAAGTCCAGATCTAGGTCTAATCAGGTTTAATCTAGGTCAAAGGTCAAGAACTAGGTCAAATCCAGTACTTTGTCATTTTTTCAATTTTCTCAGTCTTCCTTCAATATTTTACCCTTTGCATTCGTTTGACTTCACTGCTTAAAAGAGAGCTTCGTCTTCACTCTTTCAAACTAAAATAAACCTGTGAACTCACTGCGCCAATCAGTTTTCATCGGCCAAATTTGACCGACATTCTTTATATGGTCATTCCTTCTGACGTCATCGTTGAGCCCGGAATTGACCAATGACATGCGCATATTTAATTAGAACGCATTTGGCGTATGTTTCTTCATGCTCACTGATTGGCGCGTAGGTCAAAAGTGATTTACCCAAACTGTCACCGGTACCCGTCGTGGGGGCGGGGCTACTAAACTGTAATATGGTCTCTACTAGGCAGAGTGTAGTTCAACTAGACTCTGCACGCAGGGTATCAATATTTTTGCTCCGTTTTTTTAATCATGTTCCTTGGAAAAAAGCTAATCCCTACAGGCAAGTTGTTTTTGATCACCCTTACCGTTTTTGAGATATTGAATCCGAAAAGTAGGTCACAATAAAAACTTCTTGGAATTCTATGTATGAGTTATGAAATATGTGTAGAATTGTCCAAAGAATCCGAATCTGCAAACCAAATTTTAATCCGACTTCCGGTTCGGAAGTTATGGCATTTTGAAATCTCAAAAATCACTATTTTGGTATCCCATGTTAAGTCAATGGGGCTTGAGAAAATTATCAATTGTAACAACACAACACTAGATACAGCTTGGATGCAGCCAACTTAATAAGAATCTACAATAGAAGCCGTCCTCAAAATCTACTTTCCTTCAAAATTTGGACACTAAAAGGCCTAGGTCAAAATCTAGTTCAAATTCATAGTTTTTCCTTTGACTACAACAAATCATATCTGAACCAACAACGAAGTACTCATCTTTCATTGATCTCATATTTACCAATACTTTTGTTTGGAAATCAGGATATACATTCCTCTGAAGGTTCTACACTGTGTGAGCAGGACCGTGGGTCCTTTATTTCATCTGTAATGGCATTTTCCAGTTGATGGGTTTAAATATAGTATTATCAATTTTTCATTAGGGTGTCTTTAGACTACTTGTAATGGGGTGGCTAATTACTTTAATGAATAAGGAATGTTTATCCGAACAATGTATACAAAGAAAATCTGGCCAGTTGTCCATCAGTAAATAAATCATCATGATAAAAGTATAATTTATTAAAGCATCCATTTGTTACCGTTCTGAATCCAAATGATACATAGGTGCATCCATTTTATACATATATGTTGACGTCTACGAAATGTTTTTCAAATATCTTCCCTATAACAGGAATATGGTAGCTGAAACTTTCACACATTGTCATACTATGTATATTGAATATGTATCATGATTTCAAGTCACAATGTTAAGTAGAAAATCTGAGATCACTTACCTCGATTTGCTGTCATATTTTTGCAATGATCCCATTCCCTATAATGTACGCGAGCACCCACGATACATTACATATAAATGACTGCATCCACATATATCGACTAACCACAGTGTGTACAAGCCACACAACAAAGGTATGCTGTTATGGCATGTTTTGGTATTATAGATGATACATTTTTCAAGTTTATTCATATATGTGTACACCCCACAAAACAAATATATGCTGTTATGGCATGTTTTGGTATTATAGATGATATATTTTGCAAGTTTATCCATATATGTGTACACCCCACAAAACAAGGGTATGCTGTTATGGCATGTTTTGGTATTATTAGATGATACATTTTTCAAGTTTATCCATATATGTGTACACCCCACAAAACAAAGGTATGCTGTTATGGCATGTTTTGGTATTATAGATGATATATTTTGCAAGTTTATCCATATATATGTACACCCCACAAAACAAGGATATGGTGTTATGGCATGTTTTGGTATTATAGATGATATATTTTGCAAGTTTATCCATATATGTGTACACCCCACAAAACAAGGGTATGGTGTTATGGCCTCTTTTAATACTAATGATTGAACATTTTGCAAGTTTATCATCGAGGCAGTTGTGTAATGAGGCAAAACAATGAGCGAAATATGTTAACTTTAGCCAATTGAAATGTTATATAGGTCGCTTTGAAGGATTTTGTTTTTCCTCTATAGAAATAGAAATATCCTCCAGAATAACGAACCCAATTTCCAACACCTTTAAGGGCGTGACTATTTTTCTTGATTTTTATGATAAAACAGCCTTTAGACATGTTAGATAGATCACTGACATTTATTGTATCAAAGTTAAAAGATTTAGTAAAAACTTTTTTCACAGGAAAATAAGCCTTTATGAAAGCGACAAAGTTGCGATATGTTTGCTGAACCAGTCAAAACAACCTCACCGCTGCTTGATATCATAAATCAACAGTCTGATGGCATGGGAAAATATGATATCATGGGCAAACAACATGATATAATGGGGAAACAGTTTGGTATCATGGGCCAACAAGGTGGTAGCATGGGCAAACAACATACAGAATTTGACTTGAGCTGTGACATGGAATGGGCTAATGCTAGATTAAAGACTCTATGGGACTACCTCAACGAAATACAGGCATCCATATTAGATGAGGATACTGAAGGTATAACCGTTGACTATTTGAGAAAAAAGTCATTAACTTTTTGATTTTTCAAAAATAATCCCATTGGGTCATATTAAACTATATTGGTATACAAATAGATGTACATGCTGACATTGTGATTGTGATTTAACATAAAACTGATATTTAAAAGAGAAAATCAACTTACAGATTTTTAACATTTTGTCAATGTACAATATGTAGGTTGAGCCATTTCAGAAAATATATACATATATAGTGCTATGTATTGGCATATAATAATTTTAATCTCTATTTTTCCCAGTCTTTACAAGTATCAACAACCCTGTGGTATATGAGGCATTGATGTGTATCCTGAGCTTGACTGCCATCATTCTACATACAATAAGACACCATGATCTAAATCTACAAATCTCAGCCACCGTTTACAGATTTTCTGAGGTAATTATCCCAACGAACAAAGTTCTGTAGGGATATAGTGAAGCCGTCCATCAGTCCGTCTGTCCGTCAGTCAGTCCGGAAGATAACTCGAATACTAGTCGACAGATTTTCTTCATAATTTTCTTTTCAAGATGGCCGCCAGTTTAAAAATAGCGGGAATTTTTCGCAAACATCTTATGTTTTTCATTTTAAACCAAAATAATAAAAAATATTATTATTTGAAATTTTGGTAGTATATTTACAACATCTATTTATTTCACATATATCCCGGGTTTTTCACCCTGACCCCCAGGGGCCGTAAATGAGGGGGTCAGGAAAACAGAAATTTTCGCTAATTTTTAGATCTTTCTGAAGTATAGCTTTATTATACTCAAATGAAAGGCAATTAAGAGTAGATTGCAAATATTGTATCTTTTTTCTGATTCGAGCCTCGTAAAATTTACGGCCGTCTAATGTACGATTTTGCAATAATTTTTCGATCCCTTCAAAGTATGGCTATATTATACTCAAATTGAAGGAATTTTTTGAGTAGATCACAATTATGGTATTATTTTTCAGATTTGTACCTCAGAAAGTTCAAAATGGCTGCTTTGCAGGAATTCGCAATTCTAAAATCTATTTTTTTCAATTTTAACCAAAGTAATGAGTATAATTGATTGGAATTCGGTAATTGATATTTTTTTGTTCGTTGGGATTTGCTACTCCGCGGGGTTGCTGTTATCTAGTTCTCTTTGTATTTAAAAAAAATTAAGCCACAATAAATAATGTTATGAGCAAAAAATAGTGTAGCTACAAGCCCCTGTGACCCCCCTCCACACAAGTGGGAAGATGTGTTAGATGTGTGAGATGTGTGTAGTCAAGCAGGGGGGTCACAGCAAAACATTCTGTTAATCTGTTAATACCCCAGTGTAATTATCCAATCTACCTTGCTCCATTGAAGTTTTTAAAATAAAAATGTCTTCTGAGCTGTAAATTGTGTACACTTTGGTTAAAAGTCATTTATGAGTTTACATTTTTGCTATGGTTTTAGATTTTAATTCTGTAAATCGTTTTCAGATGCATCAGAAGTTTGTCCCTGAAGAAATGATAGCATTATTGGAAGAAATTAGACGTTTGACATAAAGTTAACCTTAAGTTAAACATACCGGACTTTTGAAGGAAATCAAATATTTGATATAGTCAAACACAAGTTAAACATACCAGACTCGATGTCCATTTGGAGGAAATCAAAAATTTGTTAGTACCCCGGACAGGTTGTATGATTGAGGTGTTTTTGAAAAAAGCCTGTCAAAATCTTTAAATCAGAAATTTTGATCAGATATTTATTTTCCATGTTGGAAATTGTCTCTAGAATAAATCCTGAAAATTTCAATAAGAATGGTTGTTCTATTGCAAATATGGAGTAAAAACACGACTGCATCATTCAACCTGTCCGGGGTACTATTTAGTCCAAAAACTAGTTTGACGTACCAAACGTTATGCCTTGTTGGATGAAATCAAACGTCAATCGCATCTAGTCAACTTGAAATAGGAGTTAGAGTTGCAACAAAGACGAGACAATGTAAAATGTTGGAAACAATATTTTCAAAAACATTTTACTGTTCCCTACAATAAAATTCAAATTGTAGTTTCTGAATCCACTGTTTTAAATTGTTGGCCAGATAGCCTGATAATCAATGGATTATCTTGAACCATTTTTTCAAAAGTTACTTTCAATGTGTTTCTAGTTTTTGTTTCTCAATAAACTACATTGATAGCCACGTTTTCGTCAAAAAATAGATTAGCAATCTTTGAATCATTTAACAACAAAGTTACCAAATATATGTAGCCTACTACATTAAGTGAATTCTCTTAAGGTCTCTAAATCTTGTATAAATATCAGAGGATTCAGTTTAATAATTTTAGTTCCATAAAGAAAATTATATAGCCTTTCATTGCAATACATACTTTGCATATTGAACCATAATTTATGTATTGTTATGAATTTATTAAATTCAATAACCACTAGTATGATTAATTTAGCTCATGTTTTGCCGTATCAAATAGTCAACCTCTGTTCTTTAAAACTCATGTAAAGGGCATGTAAAAGGCATGTATCCCTGAAAACAGTCGAAAGGTGCTCAAAATAGTTTATCAAAATATGAATGTAAATGAATGAATGTTATGGTAATGAGTTTTATAGACTGAATTACTATCTTTTTCATCACTGTACGGGCATATACTTGTGTGCATTTTAACTGATAGTTTAAGAAGAAAATGCAATACATTAATGAAAATGAATAAAAGTATGTACTCTATGTTGCACTTCATGTCATATAGTATTTGTATAAGAATATTTCATGATGGCTTCATAAAGATTATAATTCAATCCCTAAATACAGAATTTATGTGTTTTTCTACCTTTTTCTATTGTATGCTATTACAGGAAGAGTGCTGGAGCAATTTTGTTGAAAGTAGAAGGAAAATTAGCGCAACAGATTTTGGACAGTCATATGTTGCATTTATGCCATTTTCTGGGGATTTAAACAGGTGCATATGTAAGGCCAATGTATTACCTCCAGAAAAAGCACTTCTAGAGATAATAAATCATTTCGACTTTGAGACAGGGTAGATGCAAAAGTGGAAAACAATATTTCGCATGTTATTTTCCCATAGGGAAAACTCATGCAATCCATTGCTTTCAGCTAATTTTAGTCACCAAAAAATGGATATCTTTAAAACCCCTGAAAAAATCACTTCTTCCTTTAGTTTCAAGTGGTTTACTGTGTTTCAAAACACAACATATATTGATGCAAGAAAAATTAAAAAAGCAGGGATGGAAGGGGTTGAAAATCAGGATAACATTTCAGACAAAACACGTGGGTGGATTGCTTGCATCTACCCCGTCTCATAGTCGAAATTATTTTATCATATGACACTTTGGCCACTGAGCAGCCATTTTGATAAATGACGGTTATTTTTTATGTATTTTATTAGTTTTTGATCTAACCACAGGTTGCTCTCTTGGTATATAATAAGAGTGTGTGGCCGTCCTGCAAACCGGGCTGCAAACTGAGAATGTATTACAGAGAATGTATTCTCTGTTTGCAGGACGGTCACACACTCTTATTGCCCTGGGACCACACATTGCTCTTACTGGAAAAGTAGTGGGGTTTTTATTTTCTTTGGATTAACTTCAATTAAATTATCGAAAATAAGAATACCATCGGCTATCACGAGTCTCTTGAAAGCCCATGTGTATACGCCATTGTGCTCTTTTTGTGAATGAAAGGGACTAATGTGTAGTGGATATATTTCCCGGGGGTTTCACTGCAGTATACTTCTTAGTACCTATGTGCCGCGCCAAAGACCCTCTTTTGAGCAATTTTGCCATGTAAATTTCCTCTCAAGATTGCAAGTTTCCATGTATACTTCCTTTCAGACTTATAAAAGGGAGTATTTCCTTTCATATTGGGATATTAACTACAAAATCCATTTTTTGGTATTTTGTTTTATTATTTAGAGTGAGCCCCCGGGATATATTTATGATGTCACACTTTGAAGACAGCGTTTTTTTGTAAATAAACGTCTAAGCATGAAATTAACAATAAATTAATAATGATACTTCTGTCCTGATCCTTGTAGGCCTTTTAAATCGTATTTTTATGAGTATCTGCTGTAGGCATTACACGTGTTGTGTGTTTCCAATTGATTCCTCTTGTGCTAAATTTTACAAATAAAGTTAATAAAAAACTTTCTTGAGTAGGTGATAAACTAAAGCGCAAACGCGATCGATCACTCGTTTTTAACACGAAGGTCAGACATTGCAAACGGTTGGAATCGACAAACCAAAATGTCGGGATAGGTAAGTTTGAGAGTTTGTATTTCAGGAAATGACCTATTATAGTAAGAACCAGATAATTTTCACTATTGCTATTGTTATATTAAGCATTCCTTGAAATGTAAATGAATGACGTAACTTAGAGGAATACTATATAACTGAGGTGTATTTTGGATAGTTTCAATAATGGTACCGCCAAACTAATAATCATGTATACTACCCTGATAAGTTTTCTAAATACGACTTTATTTCGAGATAATTCATCGCTTTGTTTCAATTAGTAAGTAATATGTCACGTAGGCTAAATTGAAAAAACCTTGTCATTGCTAATGACTTTTACGAGATTTGCTTTTTCAAATAAGTAAGGAATAAGTTATGTAAGGGCGACTCCCCAGGATCGATGCTAATGAGTTATGCATTTCTATCTTTCGACAATAGGACTAGGCAAATTGGAGTCATCCCAAATGACGAAAAGGAGTCTTTGGGAAATTCATAAAGCAATCATTTCACTAAAAATTCTAAACCAGATGAATGTAAATTTCAAACAAACTTGTTCAAATGGTACAAAATCTGGGTCATCCCTAGATAACTACTAGGTAAAGTTTACGATCTATTAAAAAGTTCACCTTTGGAACGTTGTACATGACACGATCAAGTGATTGAAGCGCGATCAGAGATTATCAATATATGAATACTTCTTCAAGGGATTAGTTGCAAAATCCGTTACACGTAATAGAGGCGGTAAAAAACACAGTCCCTTCCACCTAGGTGGATTTCAGTCGTGGGACTCCCTAATTTCCGCCTTACCACCAATCCATGAAGGGTAGATTTTTTAGAGCTCATCAGAGAGTTCAACTTCTCACTATTCTGACACCTATCTTTCGAAACCACCTTGAAAATAATGCCCATGTGAGTTTTTTGTTTAAATCTGGTTTTGTTATTTATTGAATTCTTCATTTATATCTACTGTATTTGCTTAAGTTAAGACAATGGCGTTACTGCGCAACATAGTGCTAACAGCAACACGGTGATAAGATGCAATGGACCCAACGGTAACGTGTTGACATGGCGGGTTTACCAACAAAGAGTGATGCTTCTCAAAAGGAAGTTGAAGATCGTGCATATGATGAGTCTCGTGGGGCACTTGAAGATTCTGGTAATTTACTTAAACGTTTATTATTAACAAGTAAGGGACAACCCTTGTTATTTTTCACTAATATTTCTATAATTTTTAATTGTTTCAGAATCTATAATATACATGTAGATTATGCATGTAATGATAGGTACCGTACTACCTGCAATAAGAACAGGGGCTGGTATCGCGCAGACCTACATCTGAATCTAGCGAAGACACGTGTTGTCAGAAACCTTACTATCAAATGTAAAAAAAAACGGCTTAACTGTTATGATGACATGCCCATTTTGGCGATGCATAAACCTAAGCAAGTGGACAGATCTACAATGATATATAGTAGCCCGGACAGAATTGTTCAATGGTCAAATTTTCTTTCTTCTTTTTTAATTTTCAGTATTATCAAAATCTGATTAGTTATTTGAAAACTAGAGTAAAATTCTGACATACAAAAACATTTTTAAGGAACGTCTCTTAATTTATTGATATCATAGGCGTTCATAGTATGAGTGACGCAAATACATAATTTATCATTTTGCCTCATATTTGTTCAAAATGGCGGCATATTTTGTGAATTTGAATGTTCAGTTGAAAGGTAATATTTAAAGATTGTCACAGGACTATAGGACCATGCTGCCACCATTACGATCCTGATGTAATGCAGCAACTGGCCAATCATCAAATACAAGAAGTCAACTCCCTCCAAGGGTATATGAAATAAACTCTGTTGAAATGTTCGGGGTTGTGTTCAAGAGGACGTGAAAAGGTGGCGCCCCAATGTGCGGGGTGTGGCGAGAGTAGGTCTTCATTATTTTCAAGAGCTCCAAACAGCCATCTCAGAGGCCATTGAAAAGCTCAAGAACAATTCACATGCATGCCAAGGATGAGTTAAGAGACATGTGACTGAAAAAGACATTACAAACTGTGGCAGTATGACCATAGTTGCAAAGGTTAAACGATCTAGGGTTGCTAATCCGATACGAGTAACAATGGAATGGCCAAAAACGTTAAGTCCTGCGACCTTACCAATATACTGTACATACAATGTACAAACCTTTTTAAGTACTGGTATACATACAAGTCAATTTAAAACAAAATGTTATAAAAGCAGGCATTACCTCATAGCAAAGCAGCAGTCTACCTGATTTCATAGGCCTATGTCATTTCTTAAATATTAACTTTCAACTGAACATTCAAACCTCTAAATATGCCGCCATTTTGAACAAATATGAGACAAAATGGTGAATTATGTATTTGCGTCACTCATACTATGAGCGCCTATAATATCAATAAATTAAGAAGTGTTCCTTAAATATTTTTTTTGTATGTCA